GACGCAAACAAATAAACTATACCCTTAGTCTAGATGGTCACTAAGGTAGTTTTAGTATGAGAAATGTACACAGATTGCCTATGTGTGTACGGTAGTGAATCTGTTATGTGTAGACGTACACGTACATTTTTTTATTGTAATCGTATTGAGTTATAAACGGTTTGCAACAAGAGCACAGAGAGGTTAAGGGGACGTGACCGTTAACTGACGTCAGGGGTTCGAGAGTGATTACTGCGCCCGCTAGATAGCACCGATGTCGTTGTGTTAGATAACAGCAAATCTCAGCTCGTATATTATTTATCTTTAGAAAAAAATATAATTAAGTTCAACAAATTGACAAAAACACATTCCATAGAAAAATTTAAAGAGCACTGATATTTCTAGAAGAGAAACTATTTTCGTCGATTCGTATATCTTATGTTATAAACGTGGGAGATAAATTTAAACTGACACTCCTATTTGAGTCAACAATAACGAGTGATAATTAATAAGTAATAAATTTGTTTTATTGTACACTCCTTAAAACATGTCGAAACAAGAATGTAAGGATTGTATTTTATTTAGGTATAATGTAGATAGCACGCAGACAAGTGAATAATTTTTGCATTCATATTATTTATATAACATAAATAAATTTATTCCGTATTTTGTTGATACTTAAACAATGCGTACTAGTTATAAATCTGCGAGTAATTAATGTCTCGTGTTTACGAAAATAAGTAAAGTTTACAGATTAGAGTTATTCTAGAACAACGTAAAATGGTCATGGTCACGGATATTATTTATATTTTATGTATTAATCATCATTCTATATATAAAAGAGTAAACTTACATAACTATCAACTATTGGACCTAGAGACTTGAAATTTTACATAGACGTTTCTGTTAGTACATAGTCGACTACTAGGTAGGATTTTTAGTTCATTCAAAATAGACCGCAGGTTGGGGGTAAAAGTTTGTAGAATAGAAAAGGTTTTTTAATCTAATCTCTAAAGGTCTTAGTAGTAATGGTCATTTTCCACTTTTAAACTTCACGCGGATGAAGTCGCGGGAAACAAATATTATTACGTGTATTACATGACTACATTATCTAATCAATTCAGCTAACATTATAAGCTTTATACTTCTAAATAACAATATGAACCTATTTATAACATTTTCATTTAGAAACCAGCACGATATGGGTAGCACTTATCGCACGCAAGATGGCGCTGTGCGTAATTGTATTGACATTAAAAACGTAAAAGAACATTCAATAAGACAAATGAAGAATAAAACATAATTATTAATTATAATAGTTACTGGCAACTGAGAATGCAATAGACAAAAATGAATAAAAAGAAAATTAAGCGGGAAACAGTTTGAAATGAGAAGATAAAAAGCTATATAACAAAGATTTATTTTGATGATGCAATTTTGTTAATTTTATAAATAATATATCTGTTACAACGAAATAAAGAATTATTTATCAATGCTAGTTTACATTTATACACAGTGCTTGTACAGTGTTTCATTTTGTTTCCTCCGTGTGCCTTACCGTGTTAGTGTGCCCACCTCGTTATGTCGGTAAAATCAAGCTACATGAATACTCGCCTTAAGTTTTCAGTTTCTGAATGATACAATTAAATGCACTACTGATTTGGAAACGACACCCTATTAGACATACTGAGCCTTATATCACTTATTGTGGGTTTCAAAAATAATGAAAGGTATGACAGTATTTTTTTTACAAAGATTTGGGTGTCAGAAACCCACGGTTAGTAATCTAATTAGTGTTTTGATACAAACGTATTATTATTTTGTACGATTTTCTTTCCGTTTCCTGAGTCTTTTTTACTAATTGGCTATCATTTTCCTTGTCTTGTTGTGATTAAATTAATAATGGAATTTTATATTAACAAATAATTTTATATAAATAATATTTACGTTTTATGTATTTGTTTTGTTTTTTTAATTAAATGGATAAAAAGAATAACTTCCTAATAAAATGCGATATGCGAAAAGCTGCAAGCGATATTTTTGCGGGCATTTGTCGTGAAACATAAGTTGGACATATAATGATAAACCGGATCATAAATAAATTATCGCCGTTCACAGATCGAATCAATTTAATTCGATGTCCAATCGATTTAGGTGTAAACTGCAGTAAAAGCCTCGGCGTACCACTATCACATTATAACCGAGAAGTGTTCGCTCCTATTTGTACGGGATTCGTCACACCCAGCTTTACGATCACAATTGTACCATAAGGGTCAAATGCAGCTTACGCTTTTTATTGAACATTCTTCTAGTAGATTAATGAATTTATTCAGTATATGTATAATACTTCATTGACACTCACTTTTAACATTTTTAACAGACATGAATTCGGAACAGAAAGATAAGAAAGGAATTAAGTAGTAATCAATAGCGTATTTAATAAAATTGATATAGAAAAATTGTTAGGATGCTAGTGAAGGTTTGTGCCTTAAAAATCTTCAGGAATAGAATTTTTCTTTTTTAATAAAGATTTTTGTTTGCTTTTTATTTTAATATTGCTAGTTGGTATACATTCAACACTTCAACAGTGGTAGAGCCCGCTTTAACATCTTCTCACGAATTGGCCTGGCTCGTCCGGTGAAATACCACGACCACACAAAAAACAGGCGACAAATGGAAGCAATTACGCGTTTCGTCTGATGAGTGTGCGTCCCGGAGGCCTAATTTAGTCCTCTTTCCCTTCCCACCCTTTTTCTTATACGGAAAGGATGGGAAGTGGAAGTGGACTTTCCGGATGAGAGGATGCATGGAAAGGGAAAATATCTTCTTCCTGTCCATCCTCCCCTCCGTCGATTAAAGGTAGGCAACGCATATGCAATTGCGTATGTCTATGGGCAACGGTAACTTCGCTATTTCAGCGATTTCAGGTGGCCGCTCGCTCGTTTGCCACCTTATGATTTAAAAAAAAAAGAAACTTCGTTCTCTTCTTAGACAGTATGTTGGTTTTACTTCACTATATCCTCTACATATTTGTCTAAAATAACATTTCTTAATTGAATAAGTGACGTCATCAACAAGTAACATAAAATGGTATCTATGATTTATACCAGACTACAAGCTTCAAGGATACATATACGTAAGCTGAAATAGCTGCAGTTTTTAGAACCGTACGGTGCAACCGGACGGCATTAATGACTTCGCAATTTACTCGCCGAATCGAACCCCGCAATACGTTATTTCAGTGCGGGCGATTAAATCTATCAATGAATTTCCGGCAGCCAACGCCTGACACTTTTAATATCGACAATCAACCCGCCGCGTACTCAATGAACAATGCTGGTATGGTCGTAAATTAAACGTTTCTAACTTCGTGCTAACAGTGGGCCGTTTTAAGGCCAACTGACCCGTTCTTTTAGGAGAACGAGAGACGTTATTTCTAGGCGATGCGTCGCGAAAATATTTAATAGTCGTAGGTCCATCGATGAGTACTCGTAAACAACAATATTGTCATCTCTCTTTTCTCTTTGAATAAACAGCGTGAGGATAGTGTTATCTTATACACGATTCGACAATTAAAATTCTCATTTGCTGTCAGTACCTTTCAAGTAATACATGCATCGCAAGCCACGTCCCATTTCTAGTACCATCAGCAAATTAGTTAAAGGTAAAAATCGTATACAAAACATTCATTATCAGAGCAACTCTTAAACAAATCTTTTAGGTATAGTATCAAAGCATTTGGTAGGCATATTGAAGATCAAAGGATAGGTGCACTAGTACGAACTTGAGATTAATTAAACATCCGCAAACTCCATACCTTCTTAGAATATAATCGGAATTACACAAACATTAACGATAGCGAACATTGTATCTTTATTTAACTCTTTTATAAACTTTTGTTTTTATTTGGGCTACGTAATTTTTTTTACGACCTAGATGATGCCCTCGACTCCGTCCGTAAGTATTCCATACTATGGTCTTCATCCATAAGACACCTTATCATACATAAGGCAGTATAATATTGGTTATTTAAGACACTATCAATTGGAATCCTTTAGCGCGAATAGCGCGCTTCCATTACCAAGTCAAGTGTCAGAATGATTAGTGAGGGGACATAAACGTCGACATTTTCGTAAGGCAAGTGTTGCGCCAGTACACCGACAGAGTGTCGGATTTTCAGTTACACAGTTTTAAAAATCTACCAAAACAAAAGATTATTTGTATGCATTTTATTCTCGAGATCTTATGGTACATTTATTGCATGTATTGGAATGCAACTTAAGGTAAAGCAAGAAAGAATACTTTAAACTAAGAAACCTTCCCTAGCTTCCTGAGAATATCATGCCAAAGTTTCATCTAAATCTGTCAATTGATAAGAACGTCTAGAAGACGAACAAACAGACATTATTTGCGAAAGAACAATGATCGTATAATTAACGAACATATGTTAAAAGATCATGTATCATCAATATAAAGTAAAAGTTGCTAACGCGAGGAAGACTTTGATATACAGCGCTTTATTTACTGTTATGGCTAAAGGCATAATCGGTTACTAATACCCGAGTTAATACGGCACGTTTCTTCCTACCAACACCCTGTATCGTATTTCTACGGAGTCTTAATTTATAAATAGTCAATTATTTCGAGATGTTATTACTGTTTCATGCGTGATCATGAAATAAGATATGAAGCGATTAATAGCGAATAACATTTTTACCTAATATTTTATTTGATTTCGTGAAAATTGTAATAAAGTCGTGAAGTCGAGAACACTATTTGAGTTAATAAAAGTACACAGGCGGTGCTAGAGTTGCCCTTCAGATGATACCAAACTGTACCATATCGACTACTACAAACGCTATCCATGTGGCCGTCTTAATTTTATGTATCGTCCTGCACTGTTTATGTATGGGCAACATCAACAGCTGATCTAAACTTCATACGCTAGAATATATTAGTATTGACTACAGTATGATCTTAAAAAAGGTACATTGTACGCAAAATATGTTCTTTAAACTAACCTGTATGCTGCATGCCTCCTGTGCACAGATTTGCCGACGGTGCCAGTGAATAAGACGGCTCATCTTTCGGCTTCAGAAGTTCGTGCGTAGAGACTGCATGGATCGACAGCTCCTAGACATAAAAACAAGGTTAAATACGCTTAGTCATCACTATACACAAAGGTAACATCACCTGATGTTAAGTGATCATTTACTAATACATTGCTATACCTTTTTTTATAAACGTGTGGACAAAGATAAGCAAGTTGGGAGACCGAATCACTCATATAAATTTCAAATGTGTACGTAATTCCCAATCCTAAAGGTGAGTATACACTAAAACATTTATCTAAAACAGCACAACGAGCAACTCTATGACATGTATTAGTGTATAAACCTTTCACTAAGCAGACGTACTTTAGAAACTATGCATGTACCGTTCAAGAAAAAAGAAAAGCTCAAGAAATAACTCTAGTGTATAATTTACCTTTACGAAACCAAAATACTTTATCTATTCTACTAGTACAGAGTATTAGGCAAGTTTGCAGAAATTGTATTCTATTTTAAAGAATATCGTATAATTGTAAAAAAACAGTGCTTATTCATCATTTAACAGTGATAGATCCCGCTTTAATATCTTCGCACTGATTGGCCTGGCTCGCCCAGTGAAATATCACGACCACACAGAAGACAGGCGTGAATCGGAAGCACTTCCGCGTTTTGTCTGATAAGTGCGCGTCCCGGAGGCCTAATTTAGTCCTCTTTCCCTTCCCACCTTTATCTTATAAGGAAAGGATGGGAAGTGGAAATGGACTTTCCGCGTGAGAGGATGCATGGGAAGGGAAAATATTTTCTTTCTGTGCATCCTCTCCTCCGTCGATTAAAGGTAGGCAACGCATATGCAATTGCGTATGTCTATGGGCAACGGTCACTTCGCTATTTCAGTAACTTCAGGTTCGCTCGCTCGTTTGCCACCATATGATATAAAAAAATAAAAATAATACCATATTACTCAATGAAAGTGAATGAAAGGCGTATTGTTAGTATTACGTATATTTAGTTATTAACAACAAGAATCATTCATCTATATAAGATTTCAATTAACAGGTTTCATTTAATAGGTTTCATTGGTGGATATAAAATATTTATACTTAAAAATTTTAAAGTTCTAAAGTGAAAAAGTACTTTTAAACTAAGTTAAGATTTATAAAGCTAAAACTTCTGAATACTTAATTTGAATGTAGCAAAGTTTCTTAAAGTTGTTAAATCTACATTATAATGCGGACTCCAAAGAACTTTTCGTAATTATTTAACTTTTCGACTATTGAATTTGTGCAATAGTGAAATTCGATATTAATCTAGAAATGACGGAATTTTAATTCCTGGTCGTAAGTTAGAATTAGAAGTGAAAAATAAGAGGTCGCGACAGAAGACAAACAGATGCGTTCCCGGCTTCTATTTTTTTTTTAAATTTTACTATAAGTTTATCTGATCTTTCGTCGCTGTATGATCGTTGCGAAAAAGTCGCTGCGATATTCAAAATGGCGGAGCAAATACATATAAGCATTTTTAAAGTTCGTGTCACCAAATGTGTAGTCAAACTACGCGCTAAGCGGTAGTCTCGACGACATGGTCGAACAATAGTAAGAGATATCTGGGATATGCGTAGCTTGATAAGTGCCAAAGAATAAATTCTGCATAAGTCCTAATTTTATGTCTCGAACTGTAATATTAAAGTCATTTAAAGAAAAGTGTAATTTTACTTATGACATTCCTTGAGATAAATGTCTTTTAGTCGGATTGATAGAATCTAGTTGAGCAAAGCATTTGCCTCGCTATGCCACTTCGGCGAATTCGGGTGTCTTCTTGTTTGTCACCTTTGATTATAAAAAAAGAATTGAAGACCGTCTTTGTTTGAAATTTGCAGAGTTGCAATTGACTTGCACGTGCTATTTTATGTCAACGTTACAAAAATACTATCGCGTGCCTTTCAGTTTAAAATTGTGAAATGATATCGGCCCCTTTGAGTTTCGTATTTCAAATGAATCGAATGGAATCATTTGCTTGTATTTTTCATTTACTAATTATGTACCTGTACTTAGGTAAATAAGTAAATAATTGTTATAAATGCGCAATAACACTTGACATATTATATAATACATTTTTTTTAAATTAAAATATTAGCAGATTTTTTTTGGAAATTTACTAATATTTCTTTTACCATTCCAAATAAGGTCTGGGCTTGTGCTAGAATATGGTTTACGACAATAGTCGAATGGCGGGATTCGAACCTCCGTCGTAGTGATCGGAAATCTGTACCCTTAACCTTTAGGCTATTGACGCTATACAATGTGTGTCTACTTTTTACTTTTAATCTATTTAGTTGAAAATATTATAAAAGTAACTAAAAGAGTATATTATAGTCCACATAATACTGATTCTTTTCCAAATCGTATGCCTTATTCATTTCTTTTAATGAATCCAAACATTATATTAATCATGATTGCAATGTTCCCGAACAACGAGTAATAAAAAATATAAATTTGATTAGTTTTACTGATTTTATGTAAAGATATTTATCGTAAATTTTCCTACAAATAGATGAAACGCTTCTAAGATATTAGAACGTTCTCAAAGAAATTAGCACCCATCGAACTAACACGTGCGTCCGATATTTTTCTAATGTTAATATTAAATCGAATCTCAAAGAGATGGCCAATAAATATTCAACAATGTCTATTTTTACATACGTAGGACGCTTTCTACGATCTTGAATGAACGGCAAGACGACCCTCCTCGTAATGTGTCCGTAAGCAACGGTACAGCGCACAAGAGACAAGCGGGCAGTGTCAACTATACAAAAAATATTCACTTGTCGTTAAATTCCTCCGCCGTGACACTATTATTGATATTGACACATGTTGTTTTCTCTTTTTCTCTCAAAGAAAATAAGAGGGATGATATGATTTTATACAAGTAATTCAATATACGAATCAAAGAAATAGAAAAGAAGTATTTCTTTTAAAAAAAAGTATTTAGTTAAATTTGAAGTATTTCAAATGTAACTAAATACTTTTTTTTTAATATATTTTAATTTATGGGCGTTATTATAACGAATTATATGTAGAGCCAATGCCCACCAAACATTTCATTGACGATTCTCATATTTTTTTTAAATGTAAGTTTACTTACACTTTATTGCATCTAAATTCTCTTAGAGAAAAGTAGTAAGACAGTGCAATAGTACAAGATAATGTGTTTTGTAAACGTAGAAAAAGATTACTATTTTTTTTTTGCCTTGAATAAATTTTAGCTTCGAATGTAAGTTACTATTAAGGTTATGATGTCGCGTGAGTTAGAAATTTATTTAGTACTAAACTTAATATTTGGTATAGCAAGTTAGCAACAAATGTCCGCTTAGTTCTTGGGCCGAGGAGTCAGCATTTTGACAGTGTCAGCTACACCCGAGCTGATTTGTTCGCAGCAGCTGCGGGAGCGCACCTATTAACCGCTGATACATGTTTGTCAGCCGGCTATTAGGGTGAAAGAGATGAAATTTTAAAATCATCTATAAAAGAGCGAGATCGATTCATTTCTCCGATTCACGACCGATATTTATTTGCTGCATCGTGACATCCGAGAAAATTTCTCGTACAGAAAAATTGGAATTGAAATACAAATGAGACATCTTCGCTGGCAGGCTATTCCTCTTGTTTCTTTATATAGAAACATCGGTCAAGGAATATTACATTTTTAATATACCAGCGGTCTCTTTAATTTGAAATTAACGAAACATTCATAATCTGTTAAATAGACGGATATAAAAATTTTCAACAACGTTAAGAGGAAATGCATAGTTCCGTTTTGACAAATTTGATAAACATCTTGTGTGTTGAACACAAACATAATCATTAAGACATTTATTAGACGTGCCTGTTTGTTGAATATATATTGTTGGTCGAACATTAACCATGAAAATTTGTCAACGCTACGTTAGTTTACTAACACAGAAGCAATAAAACAAATGAATTATGTCCTTCCTTAAACTCTCACTCACTATGAATGAATCATTTTTGCATTTCGTTATAAAATACATTTATATTATGTTCAATCATTCTAATTGAAATAAGAAAAGAATTTTCTTTCATTTTGTGTTAACACCGAGAACCTAAGTGAGGACGACGACTCAATTTTTTAATATTGTTTTAAACACGTTTATGGATTTGCAATATTAAGAAGCAATAATAAGCTTGAACTATTAATAAGTACAGGATAATAGTTTAAACTCGGTTCTTGGTTAATAAACTTTGTATGACGTTGATTTTCCATAACATAGCTTAACCCAACATCAACCACTAAGATGACCCTATTCCTACAACTGAAAAAGGGATTTTTTATATTCAGATCAACTTCCTATGACTGTCTTTTTACATATTTCAAATAGCCTTAAAATATTTTTTCTAACCTGCTTTACAATTTGCTTATGACAAGAAATAAAAGTTACTCAAGCTAAACAGTGGGTTTCCACTGACGAAACCCATATACAAAAACTTGTCTCTACAACTACCTTAAAATTACTTACTTTCTTAATACCTGTAGGTATCTAGACAAGTGTCAAAAAATAAAATGACCTCCTCCTTATTGAAGACGGAAAAAATTGAGATCTAAATTCAAACTACGTATGAAGGATTGTTGAAAAGAATTGACTATTCTGACCTACATGAAAATGTTTTTGTTACATTACCAATACGTTCCAAAAAACTTGATGATTTATATTGTTATGATACATGCCGTTGTTTGAAACATGTTATCGCCCTAAAATATACTAAAGAACAAAAGTAAGAATGCGTCAAAGATTCGTTACAGCGATCAAAAAAAAAGAATATGTATAATAGGGTTGTCAAAATATAAACAAATATAATTCATCACTTGCCTATTCGTATTTTGAAGAATTCATTGTTTTCCAAACGCGTCCTCGAAAGTTCACGTTGTCGTAATATGTAATTGTCTAAAATATGCACAATATAGTTGGAAACAAACAAATATAATATGACTGTATGAAAAATATCTGCCAACTTCGATATAGTGACGGAGCGACAGTGGATCGCAGGATGGGATTAAACGAAAATAGCG